ACTTATAGTCTCTGTTTGTTGTTTTCATTTTCACTCTGGTACTTCTACATCTTACCCCCATGGGGCAAAAAAGAACATTGAAATTTAGCACTATTTAACATACCAATTAAAAAGACACATTAAAAATTAGAATTATGGCCAGGTGCGGTGGCTCACACTTGTAATCCCAGCACTTTGGGAGCTGAGGCGGGCAGATCTCTTGAGGTTAGGAGTTCAAGACCAGTCTGGCCAACATGGTGAAACCCCGTCTCTACTAAACATACAAAAAATTAACCGGGAGTGGTGACAGATGCCTGTAATCCCAGCTACTGGGGAGGTTGAGGCAGAAGAGTCACTTGAAATCGGGAGGTGGAGCCTACAGTGAGCCAAGATGGCACCACTGCACTCCAGCCTGGGCAACAAGAGTGAAACTCCGTCTCAAAAAAAAAAAAAAAAAAAAAAAAAGAATTACAGTGAAATTACATTAAGAATTTTCTATTAATAACCATTCTTTTGGATAAGACATTATGGATAATCAATGTTTTGAAAATGTTAGCCCTTAATTAGGAATTGCATTTTAAGAGAGAACATTTATGAGAGCTCAAGAACAAGTTGATATTGGACTGCATTGAGCTGATGTTTCTTAAGTTTGGGCTTTAGTTTCTACATTGATATCCCTGGTGACCTTTAGAGATCACCTTATTTCTCTGGACTAACTGTTTCCTAACACAGAAAACAGGAATAACAATTTCTATATTCTCATCTTAAAAATATAATGGATCTAAAATAGTGGCTGGTTTATTGATTTTATTTTTCTTCATTTCCCTCTTCTTAATAATAACTATTATTCAGTGCTGACTATGTGGCTAGGCATTATTTTAAGTGTTTTCATAAGTATTAAAGTTTGTAATCCTCTGCCACATGTGCTAGGGTGAGAATTAATCTCATACCTATCTCACTGATGAGAAAACTAAGCCATGGAGATGTCAAGTAACTTCCCTAAAGTCACGCAGTCCATGAGTGCCAGAGCCAGGATTCAGACCTGGTAGACTATACTGTCCATGGCTTTTACCACTACACTTACTGTCTTTTTATTATTATTATTATTATTATTATTATTATTATTGTAGCTAAATTTTTTGAGCTAGGTATTTTACTAGAATGTCCACTGAAGCATTATTATAGCCTTATGGATTAAATCCTAACACTACTATTACTTTACACATGAAGAAAACCAGTTACAGCGAAGTTCATTATTTGCCCAACATCACAAAGCAGCATCAGATTGAGCTCAGAGATTTGACTCCAGGAATTGCATTTCCTGGACTGCTACACAAATATATTTCATTAAACAACAGAATTAACTTGTTTATGTTCTGCTTCCCTTTGCAAGGATTTGAGATGGCTTCAAAACATGTTGCATGTTGTTTAAGAAGAAGGCATTAGTTTTGGATAGTTGTTGCAAATGTAACTGTGGAAGTAGCATGACATGGTTCAATAACCAGTGGAACTGAGAGACACGGGTAAAGATACAGTAGTGTCACTGTTCCATCCCAACTGCCTGTAAACTGACGGCTGTGACACCTGCCTTGTCAAGAGTCATACATGTGACTTCAACTCACATTCAGTTGGCCAGAACTAGTTGCATGACCTCAATTTGAATGTGAAGAAAAAAGGAAGGTATAACGTGTTTAGAAACGAGAGAGGAACCAGGAATGATGAGTATTAGTGATTTCTAGGATACTTCATCTCTATTATAAGAAAAAATAATACCCATCTCTTAGTTGATTGCTTGAATTTAATGTATATGACAGTTAATGTATGGTACATATAGTAAGTTGACATCAACTCTAGTTCATGTTTCTCTTGAAATACATCTATTCAAAAATGAATAATTACTTAGGGAAGCCAACTAGTTAAGATACTTGGGTTTGAAGTTTATTTTTTCATTTCTTCGTATGAGTTTTACTATGCCTCATAAGCTTCTATAAGTAACAAAAATAATTACATTTATTTGGTATTTACTATGCTTCAGACACCATGTGTTAACTCATTTCATCATCACACCGACTCTATGATGTGAGCACGATTCATTATATCTATTTAGTATATGGGAGTACTATCAACTGGATCATTTGTTTGAATTACTGTGAATAAAGCTGTAAAAAGAGAAGATAATTCTACAGCACATCTTGAAAACTTCAGTAATACTGTTGTTGTCAACCTATTTTAAAGATCTGAAAAAAAAATCAGCATTTAGTGGACATTTACTACAGGATAAACACAGTGCTCCTGCTTTAACTTTGTGTTGCATGTAACCTTCACATAAATTCTCCAGGATAAATACATTAAGCTACATTTGACAGATAAGAAAGATAAGGCATGTAGACTTCAAACCTAGAAATATGTGTATTTGTATATTTAAGGATGAATGGGATGGTTGATGATTAAAATATATTAAAAATGTATTCCCCAAGGATGTCTTTGAAAGAGTTGAATATGGATGTGATGGGGTTTATTGGTTGTTGCAATTTAAAAAACATCTTTCCACCTACAATGGTTTGCTTTGCCATTTTAAATCAAGTTGGACCATATTTTCATTTATCTTAATTTTACTTGCTGAGCTTTTAACTGAGACATAGAAATTAAGTAAAGATATTAAGTAGAATAATGACAACAGATATGCATATACAATTGAGGAAAGAAAATAATTACTATTCAAAAAGACTATTCTGATTTGTCTTGTCCCAGGAGGGATGACATATATATTGTATATAGCAAAAGCTTAAGATGTTCTTTTTGAAGTGTTCATTGACTTAATCATTAATTAAAGTTTCATGAAGCTAAGTTATAATTCATGAAATACTTTTAAAACACAGAATTAAACAGTTGATATTATTGTCTATAAAAACGTGTACTAGAAAGAGTGAAAATGTTGCCTGTCATTATATTAACCTTCATATCAGCTATTAGGTTTAAAATAATGTCAAATAGAATAAACTACAAGGAGCTCATATCATCGTTTATTTATATCTTCATACCACTTTAAATGTTCTAGATTTTTAAATTTTCTTACTTCATCTGAGCAATGTATGATATGGTCTAGTACTTTTTATTCATCATGAACAAAATATAAGAGAAATAAATGTGAATCAATGTACTGAGTATTTTAAATTCAAAGAAAACACTGGGCTAATCTGTGTGCACACGTGTGTTTGTGTGTGCATATGTGCACACTTGTGTCTGGCAGAACAAGCACATTACTTATGATGGCTGTATTCAGTGTGGCTCATTCTCCACTTTCCCCCCAAGTTATTAGAAATCTCTAAAAGTAGATTGTGTATGGAGGCCTTAATAATCTATTGCATACAGCTAACAATGACACTTCATTAATTTTATATAAAACAATTCATCAAAATGTTTGTTACAAAATGGGTATTTATTCCTGCAATTCTGTAAATATGCTCTAAATAAACTATCACTAGCCTATAAGGATCAATGCTTGTGAGTTACTTTTCACATAATCAGTTTCATGTAAAATAAAAATACTGTAAAAATGTATACACAGAATAAAGTACTCTTAGCAGCTGTTTTATTAGTTAGAACACTTTTGTTAATAATTTTGATATTTTGGTTCGATGGATGTTTTCTATTAAAGGATTGGCAGAAATACAGAGTTTGAATTAGGTCACATATCATTTTGATCAATATTAAAATGTTTCATGTTTATTTTAAACTTAGCATTTTTCCCTCAATAGTATTAGGCAGAATTACCATCCCCGATAGGCACAACAATAAAGCATCATTAATTTCCATATTAGATTTTGGCATAAAAGGAACACTTGCTATTTTATTTGTATGTTTCTTCTACTCATTTCCTCTATGTTTCAGTTTTCAATTTGCTGTGATTCCGAATGTCTTGTAATTTTTGAGTCGCATGTGTGCTTTCTAAATAACACAGATGAGAAAGATAAGACACTATTATAGATTGTATTGTATGACTTTATACCTATGAATCAGATTTCAATTTAAGAAAGAACAAACTGTTGAGATACTTGGATTCTTTTTAGTTAAAATGTTAAGATTTGGGGTTTCTATCAAGGACTCTCGTTGGGGGGTTCAAAATACCTCGTTTCTTATTCAAATTAAATCTAGTAAATATCTTTCTTTGGTTTATTCCAATGGAGATTATAGCCATATTGTATTATGGGCCAGGAATAAATGTATTGCCTGTCTTTACACTTCATAGTTAGTTTGTTCATTAATCAATATCTAGTGTGTAGAATACTGTCTGATTTACAGTAGCTGTCCAATATTTATATTTTGGGGGGATAAATGTATAGGTATAATTGTATTGTATCAAAATATTTAAAATTAATTAAATGATGATGAAAAGACCTAATATATATTACAAATAGAATTTTTATACACGCACAAATATATATTGTATACAAATAATTTACATAAAGTTTTATAGTGTAATTTTTTTTTATTTTCTATTTGCTGCTGCTTTAGTTGCTTTCTTGGGAGTCTAAGAGACACTTCTTTAGAAAAACAGCCTAACTTCAACATTACTATATTTGTTATGTTACATTCATTTGCTAAACCTCTGTATATAATTTGTTTTTGTCTCTTCCCAATCAGTTATATTATATACATTTGTTAAATAGACAAGGCTATCTGACCACTCTTCAAAATGCTGTTGCTATAGAAATTTAGCCAAATATGTTAAGTATGACACTATAAAAGTGGGTTTTAAAATACAGCCTTGACAAAAATATGATCCATTTTACAATATTATGACAAATGAAATAAAACAAACCACCACCAACAAAAACACGTTTTAACATACATTGAAAAATAATATTCAAGATTCCAAGAGCTCTAATTTTGAAATTCTAAAATTTCAGGAAACTCCCCTAGCTAGTTTGTGATGCATTCATTTTAAAAATCAAAGACTCGATTAAGAAGCCTTCATGCTACTATGTGTATTCCAGAAAAACCATTGAGGAACAGTTCAATTTGGTTATAAGATTCTTTATTTTGTAAACTATACATAAACAGTAAAAAAGAAAATGCATTATACTTTAAATATTACATAAAGTCAACATTAAAGTTTGTATTGAGTGTGTATAAATTAAATTGAAATAATTCATCAATTTTGCTTTCAATGAATTGTATACTGGGAAACCAGTTTACCCACTGTTGAAATTAAAGATACCAATATGTAACATTCAACAGGATTTTCCATTTTTATTATGGGCACAAAACCATTGGTCTGATATAGTTAAAAGTGATGGTGTGCCAAAATGTCTACACAATTAATTAACATGCTAACTTAAACACAGCGGTTAAAGTAATTTTCGCTACAGTTAAATCTTAAATGCTACTCTACACAATAATCATAAACAAGTCCACATGGCAATTATGTAACAATAGAAAAAAAGGAAGAAACATATCCCATTTTCTTCATTCCAGCAGCAGTACCTTTACTGTTATTAATCTGTTAATTAGGTGTGCTTATATATTGCGTAATATACTATATTGGTATGCATGCTAAAATCTTTCTATTTCTATTTTTGCAAGGCACCATACAATACGTTCTCTAGGTTTCGGCACTACTAACAAAAATAACATAATTATAAGATTAAATGCAAATTTTTATCTAAAATGGGAAATAAAATGAAAATTAAGAATTTAAAATTTGACCTTGGGGCAAATGACAAACTTTGTAACAATACGGTTTAAATCAATCTTTCCCTTTGTCTTCCTAATTTAAACTCTGAAACCTAAGTTGCTGGTCTGAAAGATAAAGAAATCTAGAAAGGCAAATAAATCATGTTATTAAAGAATATTTTTAAAAATCTGCATGAGACTGCCATCCAAATTAAAATACACATTGGAAAGAACAACTAAATTTTTAACTTTCAGAATCCATGGTTTTCCATACTTGCCATTTTGTAAAATGTACTATGAGATCCAGAATAACTTCATAGTTAAAAACATTACTATTAATGTAAACACAATGGAGGACTCTACAATTGTCACTTTGTTTTTCTTGCCATGTGGTATCTCTCTGTTATCCTGACTCATCTAGGTCTAGCAAGATGCTACTTTGGAAATGCAATTAAAGCATGCATATTTTTCTTAAATCCTCAGGACCCAGGTCATTAATAATTTATTCATTTTAAATTTCACTTAGAATTATCTTTCAAAAAATTAACATGTACGATCCCAAGCACTGGCTGTCATTTTGCTTATGGAAGATTTACGAAGTTTGTTCTCATGAAAAATTTATTATAGGGGCACTTCAAAACTTTATTTTCTCTGACTAGACTGCATATGTATTTTCTTCTTGTGTAAGGAATATAAAAACTCAAAGCAAATCATTCTTATTTAAACACAAAGTTCTATAACTTTAGCTGCAATTTTTCAAATAATTATACAAAATATATGTGAGGTTTAGAATCATTTTGTTATTGGGGAAGAAGATAATTTTAAATAGGCTATCATTTTTGTAAATATTAGAAATGTAGAATTTATTGATTTCAACTGTCATCAATCAAATGTATCCATCATGATCATCACCACCATCATCATCATCCCCTTCATCTTCATCATCATCTTCAATTTCATCTTCATCATTCATAATATCATCTTCATCATCCTCATCATCAGTCCATTCATGGAAATCTCCACTAGCAAAATCTCCAGAGATCTCAAAATCTATAGCTTAAAAAAAGTGAACATAAACATTACCTTTATTTGACTGAATAGTGTTAACTACTGAAAGACAAAATCCTTATGAAAATTAAGAATATTTTTTAAAAAGTAATTGCTTTTCTATCTTATTTATCAAAGATAAGGAAAGATCCCTTTTCTGGAAAATTATCACATGTTAAAAATCTATCATTTGTTAAAATGTATGTGCTAAAAGCAGAATCATTATCGAGGTGTGTTATGCAAGATTGATCTCAGCCCAGTTTTTATAGAAGTTCATGTCAGACTGTGCATTTTAATTTAAAATTTCTTCTACAAGTGTGACAGAAAAAGTGCCCCACCAAATATGTCCATTTCCTAATCTCCAGAACCTATAAATATGTTACCTTACATGAAAGAGTGACTTTGCAAATACGGCTAAGTAAAGGAATTTGAATTGGAGAGATTATCCTGAATTATCCAGGTGGATCCAAATTGTCACTTAGGTTCTTAAAATAAGAAAATGTTTTCCAGATAGAGTGGGAAGGAGCTAGGACTACAGAGGAATGATCAGAGACACAACGTTGTCAGCTTAAGATTAGAGGAAAGAGTCCATGAACCAACGGATGCAAGCTGCCTCTAAGAGGTGAAAAGGTCAAGGAAATAGATTTTCCCCTAAAGCCTCCAGAGAGGAGCACCCTCCTGCTGACATCTTGATGTTGAGCTTAGTGAGACCTGTGTTGAACTTCTGAGGTACGGAACTGTAGGATAAACGTTTGTTGTTTTAAGCCACTAAGTGAGAATTTGTTACTACAGCAACAGAAAACTAACATTTTACAAAATATTTTAAAAATAACTATTAATATTTATGGAGGCAATAATGCACATACATCTTAGCACTCACCGCGTATTGACTTTTCAACTCCTCCAGTGCTGGTGTGGATTTATTTTCTACTCTTTCTAATATTTTATTCTTATAATTCTTTTGTATCTAATTATAACAAATCCAATTGATGTACTTCAAGGTTTATAAATTGGTTGATCTCACGAGACAACACACTAAAATTCCCATCTTAACTGAAGAAAATATTGTTTCATTCTCCAACTTCATCTGCTGTATTAGTTATAAAATGTTAAGAAAACTCAGATGTCCACGTTCCAAAAACAATGTTCTTGTTCACTTAAGGAACTCATCTCCATATAATTTTTACTTACAACATAAAAAACTTATGTATCCATCATTGTTATCAATGACAACTGAAGTAATTTATAATGCAACTACTTTACAGTACATATTACAAAGATGTGTTCCCTCTATGTAAAATTTATGTAAGATAGCTACTGAATCCTCTTTCTTCCTACTTAAATCTAATTGCATTGGCCAGGTCAGCAAACAAAACTAAGCTATTAAAAATGTTATGAACAAGGCCGGGCGCGGTGGCTCAAGCCTGTAATCCCAGCACTTTGGGAGGCCGAGACGGGCGGATCACAAGGTCAGGAGTTCGAGACCATCCTGGCTAACACGGTGAAACCCCGTCTCTATTAAGAAATACAAAAAACTAGCCGGGCGAGGTGGCG